TTTAACCATTATATGTAATCTGTTGCTTTTGGATTTTTTTTACATTTAGGTCCATTTATACCTTTCCAGTGCAGTACACAACACACGTGAACTCACATTACATGCATTAGCAAGTAGCAATGCTATTCATTTCAAATGGTGCACCAATGCACTAAGGCAACGCAGCTCCAGCACACATGCATTGCATTTCAGAGCATTGTAATGCACTGTTACTATTGTAGTGTTCTAAGCTGCCAAAAAAGGTGCATTTTGGTGCATGGTCAGTCCATTCAACTGACCCACCATGTACACTGAGCTGTGAATGGGCTTTTCTTTTTCACTGTTTTTCCTTTTCAGTGAAATACTGAATATAATGTGCCACAAAAACAGGTCCAGGTCTGAAGTTGAGAGGAGCCTCCGTAACATTTAGGAGCTATATAAAACCAATTGCATCCATACATAATACTTTCATTGACTCCAAAGCATTTTGCTAAAATCTCCTTGCAGACATTTCAGATGAATGAAAACTCTGTGTTGCTCATCCCTGGAACTTGTGGGACTGAAATGGTTCATCATGTTTTCACTGCTCCTGCTACAGCTGTACTTGGTAAAATTTTTACTTATAAATGTAATACAAATGTAAATTCTAGGCAAAGTAATGTCCATCTCCAGCAAAGGAGATGTATTTATAATATATATATTTATTTCTTATGCTCCTCTGCTCCATCTAGTGGCCATATTGGGATTTTTTTTAATATTACATTCGACCTGCAAAGAAAATATATTAAGAACGTTCATTATTTTGCCTCTATTTGCACAGAACGAACGTTCAGAGAGTCACACGGGGAATGGCTCCTCCAATTGTTTATTAATAGACCCACACAGTGTTGAACTTACCAGGTTTGTACTGGTATCCATAGGGATTGGAGGTCACAGAGGCAGGAGGTGATGGGACATTTTCAAATGGTCTGACACTGGTCACATAAAAAGACCGGCCAGTGCCGCACATTGGTGCATGCCCTGCCAGGAAAGTGTGGAATTAAGCGGCAGTCCCCACACATGACACTACAATATAATTAAAAAGTACTTTTTCGGTCATAAATTACACTTGCCCCTTAGTTATTGAGCAACTATGTACGTGTGCACCATTTTTTCCAGGAGCCTTTAGTTCTGCTTCAAATTCATTGTTGGTCAAGTCATTTTTAATAACTGTTCCTCCGAGCCCAGAGATCCAAACTCTGTGCAGATTTCTTGCTATGCACATTACAATCTAATTGCATGATCTCCTTTATCTCCACCATTAAGTGTAGCGGCAGGGCCCGCCTAATTGCATATAGATTGGATGGATTGTGCAGGTAGGTCCTCACATTACATTAGCCTTGGGAAATCTAAAGGAGATTATACAGAGTGTACATTCATATTGTAATGTGTATAGCCATCTCAAATCGGATATGTAAATCGAAGGAGCCCAAATCATGATTTATCCTCTTGTACCTAACCAGTGTGAATCACCTGAACTGCCAGGTAATGCGTCTTGTGATTGGGCCATTGCTTCATCAGATCGTGATATAGTACCACTATAAGAAAACATAACATGTATAGGGAGGGATACAAAGATAATGGGTTTGGTATTTAATTACTGGCACACCCTCTGTTTATTTGCGAGATACAGATAAACACAGGGTGTGCCACCAATTACATGCCATTTAAATCATCTCTGTCTCCCCTTAAAAATTTGTCTGTTTTCCTATTGTGGTTGTGAATCAGACAAGACAATCATTTATCATACTGATGATGTAAAAATTCCTTACCAAGAATGATGATAGCAAGACAAGTGCCCAACATCCAACCTGCCAGGATCATCTGCACGCTTCCACCAATGTATAATAGAGGGAAATATTCACTTCCTTATCAGGCCAAACTTCCACAAAGATTTTCCGAAAAAGATTAGAAAATGATTGCTTTTACTGGCTGGATGAGCCACCAATTGCCGTAATTGATGGTCAAATTGGGCCAGAAGCAGGTTGCGTAAAGCCAGTCATCTTTCGCAGTTGCAAAATAGGATTTTTGACCTACCCTAAAATCTTTTTCATGGCTTGCATTAAGAGACACAGGATGCAATTCAGGTACATAGGATTATGCTGCTGCTTTCGTTACCTCCTTTTGGGGTTCAGGTGCATGTGATGGTCCAGAGATTGGGACTTCCTGTACCATGCAGACATAATGTTGAGTTGCAATCATCTGGAATGATACTGGACATATGTAACTGCCTCGAAGAAGCCCTCCACTACCCCCAGAACCCTTATGGTTGGCTCCTGGACTGAAGAGCCTGAACTTGGGAACATAGATTTTGGAGCTTTTCCTGTGGAGGGAAAAACCTGGACAGTGGAGTTTCCAGGAGAAGACCCAAATACTCCCAGCAATGAGTCAGTTCCAGCAATGACTTTTGGAGGCACAGGATCCACCCGAACCTCTGCAGTGGTTGGACAGTCTTTTGGACATTGACTGAGTGTCTGTGCTAACTGTTACCTCAGTAGGAGGTTGTCCAAGTATCCTGTTATGAAAATGACACGTGAATGAAGTAGAGCAAGTACAGGGGCAAGCACCTTGGTGAAGATCCAAGATGCCTTTGGTAGACCAAGGGAAGGATAATGAATTGGTAATGTTTAGTGCCCACCGCTAAACGCAGAAAGTATTGATACGCTGAAAAGATGGGGAGATACAAGTCGCCATCTTTGATGTCCACAGAGGCCAGAAAGTCCCCCAAGTTTGGGGAAACAATCACTAACCTGGTAGATTTCATGTAGAGTTTGTTACTGGAAGGAAGATGTTGGCAAACTTTAGATCTATGATGGAGTAAATTACCCCATTAACGATGGGAACTGGGAACAAGTTTGGTACCTTTCTTTTTTGAGAACAATGGCTATGATCCCTTGGGAGAGAAGCTACGTCAGAGCACAATTGAGGTCTGCTGGGCTCTGTGGAGACATTGGCATGCTTGGCAACATGGTGTGGAGCTAGAGATAAATAAAAGCAGAAAAAAGTAAGGATCGGTTTGCTTCTCTCATAGTGGGGGTCCACTCTCCTAGAAGATTAGCAAAAACTGAGTCATGAATTGAGTGGAAGGGGATTCCTATGCTGTCCTTACAGCTTTGTTTGTCAGTGTCCGATTACTGAAGGCAGCAGAATAACCATATCCACCTGAATTACGTCCTGTGTCCCTAATGTACGATTAAGATATAAATCTATAACCAAATTAATTGGTGTTTTCCATAAATATAAGAGTTTAGCTTTAAAAGCAGACCGGTATGCAAATGCTAAAATAAAACTATTAACAGCCTATGGGGATTGATTAAAAACAAAAAAAACAGTATTTAAAAAAAAAAATGGGTAAAATATTTACACTTTATTAGGAATATTCACCTTCCAATGCACCACATGTTTGAAGGCCTAGGCACTTGATAATATGGTTTCTGCTAAAGGGAAGGATAAGCCATTTATATTTTTTCTACTTCTGCAGAGATCACATGACCAAGCGCCTAGGCCTTCACACTCTTCACAGGCCTTCTCTAGGAAAGGCAAACAATGAAACCCTTCTACTACACTTACTTATGAGTGCCAGCAAGATTGCAAGCATAGGTTTCTCTTCACAGCTGCTTATCGGTCTCATTTAAGATAAAGTCTTAGACAATTAACAGGTCATTGGTCAAGAAAGGCATATGCTTTAATGAGTGTCTCATTGAGGCAATACCCAGTAAGTGTTTGTACAACAAGGAAGTAATACTCTGCATGAGAGAGGCTGGTAGTCATACTCCATACAGGCCTGTTATTGTGGTCACCGGCAAATAGAAAACCAGTCATTTGAAAGCTTAACACTGTGCAGAGCTCTGAACATCACACGTCCATAACACAGCAGACAGCCCTGTTGGACTCAGCAATGCTCTGCAAGTCTCTGTCCATTCAAGATGCAATCTATGTGCTTTATATTCTAAAGATGATGCTTGGAGTTTTCTTGGTCCAGTAGGAAGAAGACCATCCACAGCATGTTAAAGAAAGTGGAAGACGTGTCATACCAAGGGCCACCTAGATCTCTGCTCTGCTGGTTATCATATAAGTACACGGGGTAATGTGCCAAGTCTGTTCTTCCATCATGACCTCTCCCATAGATTGGGGCTTTCTTCAGCACTTTTTCTGATGCCCTCTGAGAAAAATGTTTCATGCCATGTGGTGGCTCTGTTAGACGTGGCACCCAGACAGCGTTAGATGAAAGTGGCTCTGTGTAGATGGCGCTCCTCCAGTTCTCTGTATAGAGCTTCGTTTTCTCTCTGCAGCTTCCACATTTTCTCATTCTGTGCCGTTATCTCCTGGAAAGACACAAAGATCTGGCCTATGGTACCACATTTACTCTGCCTGTTGGCTCTGTCTTTCAGCCACAGAGAAGTCCAGTTTGGCAATTCTGACATTTGCCAGAAGGGTCGGTCTGTGTTAGGGAGTCTGTGGGTCTGCTTGACCCACTGTGGTCTGTGCAGCCTCAATTGTCCCTGTTTTACTAAACACAACAAAACCAACTTTAGATTGTACACACTGACCAGCAAAGGTGTCAATGGACCTGGGCATAAACACTGTGGTATCAGTCCACTAAAATGCATATGCAGTTTTATGTCATGTTGCTATCCTTATTTTCACTTAAATGTCATCCATTTATTAAATAGTATGATTTTGTACTCATTCTTTTCTGTTTATTGAAGGACAAAGCAATGTAGATTCACAAACTCTGGGTTAACTACCACCAAAAGTCTAACCGTAGAATCTACGGTGCTGTGTGCTTCAGTGAACGATGGAGGAAAATACTGCCAGTCCTGCTGTTCCATAGCCTTCCTCCCACAGGGTGACAACACTATTTGGCCTGCAGTTAATTACCTGCTGCATTGTCACCCTGTAGAGCTGTGAAGGCTGTGGAGCAGGGTTATTAGCACTGTCACGGCCAATACCCCTCCTCAGCGCTAGTCAATATAATCAAGGTCTTCAAATAGGAGTCTTGCATCGGAGGAAGTGACACAGGGCACCTCTTGGATCATGGCTCCAGCCAATACTTTGGCCCTCTTTGATGATGTCACAGGGACAGAGAACAGAATTTCTTCACTACTAGGAACAGATAGAGTGAGTTATAAAAAAAATAGATTGGGGGTATGCCTGTAGGGGAGAAGGGAGGCCTGGAAAGACCAAAATGTTAGCTCCTCTTCGATCATGGCTATTCTTCACTACTAGGAACAGATGAGAAGACCAAAATGTTAGTTGAATATTGATATAAAAAGGCCATTGTGATCCCAGGTTCCAGCTCAGCCATTTTCTGAAGTCTCACCCACAAGCAGAAGCATAAAAGGGAGGGTGCACCGTGCTAGTTACAACAGTTATTAGTAGATTGCTCAATCTGGCTGCATTAAAGATTAAAAAACTGAGATCACAGACTTCAGTTGCAGAGATTTCCTAGTATTAGCACTTCAATGATTTCAATGCCATCCTCACATGGTACTCACCCGTGTCAGCATCTGATTTTGATGACGTAGTGTGGCGATGGTATCAGAGTGTTTAGTGCTGTACGGGGACTGCCGCCGATGGCCCTTAATGGATACAGAAGACACATCAAGAAATGGAAGCTCATATTCCACAAATAATAATAGATACATTGGGCTGTATATACTGCTCACTGTCCAATGCTGATGCTTAATTTACACAATAAGAATTTACATTCCTGAAGTCAGACCAGTTCATAAACGTTCTTTACGGAAAAACTACACGAAGCTAAGATGCACACATTATTAGCTATATTGATCATTACTGACACAAAATATTACTGTTACTTGCTATAAATAATAGTTGTTAAAATCAAAAATAACCCATGCATCATCACTGTTGTAAATGTCGCTATATGCACTTCCTGAGACCCAGTCTGTATGGTACATATGGCACCTTGCCGACTTAACAGGGTCCACAGGCAGTTTAACTCACCAAAAAAAGACACAGACAAGCAGAGTCCAATGTAGTTTAACCCAGTTTGGCACATGAGGATTTTTTACATTTTTCTTGTAGGTAAAAATACAAATCAGATTTATTGCTCTTTGGTGAAGTTATTCTTGAATAAAGTCCCACCCCCTTTAGTGCAGGCTGTCTGGTCTTTTACTTACCTTCAGCCTCAATCCAGTGATCATAACGCCAACATAGACCTGACCGGCTCTTCTTCATTTAGCTCATACATGCTGTGGCCAATTCATTCATACTCCAACGACCAATGGAAGCCACCATGAGTAGGCTACCCATGGGAATGAATAGGGCTGAGAGGTGTATGCACACAATAAGGGTGAGCTGGCCTGGTACATATTGGAAGTAGGATCACTGGATCGGGGCAGGAGATAAGAATAAGCCCAGACTGTCTGCACTCAGGGGGGATTTATCAAAGGTGAAGTTGTCCTTCAAAGTACTAAAAACCTTGTTTCTCTGTATATATGCCTGTAGTGCCATGGTGTCCAACCTACCACCTGAGGGCCACATGCAGTCCTTAGGTGCTTGCCATTTAACCCCTGGACCCCGGCAACCAGCAATGGGAGTGTTGATTTTTTTTATGGGATGCAATGGCAGTAATCTCTAGCAGTCTCATGTAATATGTTCCTGGTTTGGGGCTGTCACCTCCAACCACAAGTGCAGTATATCCATATTTTTTTACACTTCCCTCAAGTAATTGTGCAGTCTCTAGCTGTCTTCTGTAGCATTTCATATACTGAATATTATGTGTGGACCTTGTGTGATGTCAGGGGCTGCAGTTGAGGATCCCTATACCTTGTAAGTTGATGACCACTTGTAAGTTGATGACCACTGATCTTGGGGTTTGGGGTCATTACCTTATCTGGATGGGAAATTAGGTCATTCAAGAATTTGTTGGCTTCCTGGATCTGTACCAAAAGAGCCGGTCCCAGAAGGGGAGGTGGAGGAGTCTGATCCTAAGGCAGGAGATAACAACATGAGACAACTTGTACGCAGACAGAATTAATTTTTCTTAAAATGGATTAAAACCTGAACAGCGATACAGAATATGAAAATCAGTCCTTATTGAACAGGGACTAGGCAGGAAAAAAACATTTGTGGTCCTGTACCCTGACTGTTACCTTTATGGACATCTCTTCCCTTCCAGGGCACGAGTAATGAAATGTGAGAGATCAGAAATACTTTTTTTTTATAATTTCACATCGGAGTCTTACCATCGCATAAGGAGCCACAGCTCTACTTCTAAATGGATAATACCCCTCCATGGATTAAGATTACTAATTTCCATAGTGTTGACAGCAAACTTGCCTGCACCATGGAAACCATGACACTGTGGGAAAATTTCGTAGCACCCATGAGGAAGCCAGAAGGCACCCCAGGGTGCCATGGCACCTTGTTTGAAAAAGGCGGGCATAGAGAAGCATAGAGAATAAGGCGATGAAAACAGAAATGTTTAATTTAGGCCTTGTTCACACCATCCTTGGTGCGTTCCAGCCCGATTGTAGCTGGAACGCACTGGATCGCATTGCAGCCGGCTCAGTATGTTGTGGGGGTGGGAAGCGACGTGGCGGTCCATGGAAGTGAAATGCTTGCAGCATTTTTTTGGACCGGACTGGACCGCAGGCCTTGGTGTGCCTTGCGTTCCCATGCGGCCAATCGCATGGCGGCCAGAGGGCATGGCTATGGTGCCATTCACTTCAATGGACTGCCACGCCCCCTCCCGCCCCACAACAAACTGAGCAGACCGCAGTGCAATCCAGTGTGTTCCGGCCAGAATCGGGCCAGAACACACTATGTCTGGTCTGAACGGACCCTTATAGATTTCATTAGCATGTTGATGATGGGGGAAGGAGGAACCAGGGAAGGCAAAACATACGCAGATTATTCTTCAGCTTTAATTGTTACCAAACAACAGGTGTTGAGACCTAAGAGGAGCAGTATTAAAATAATAGAGTACTATGGGATTCGGAACAGGCATGTGCCATAGAAGCTTACTGTAGCACCCTCTAAAATGTCGCTATTCAATTTTGAGATACCTGGACTGTAACCAGTCTAGATACTGATTATGCAGAGCTCTACATTCTATGGGTGTCCCTGAATCTGCTGTATTGATTGCTCCTCCTGTTGCTGAGGAAAAGGGAGCCTTGGCATACAGTGAGGGAGGATCCATCCTCAGGTTATGCACCTGACCCTAGCCAATCCCTGAGTAGGATGACTCAGAGGCATGGTTGAGGGCAGGTAATAAAGGTCTGGGGACACTGTGGAGAGTCTCTTCCCCCTAGGGGCTTCGCCCTAGGAGGTCTGTGGAGATGCAGGAAACTGGCCTGGGCCTCAGCACATGGCAGGTGCTGAGGGGCCCAGAGGCCTAGGATACACTGATACTTTGCTGGGCCCATGCATGTGGCAGGTGATGGGTGCCTTGTTCTAAGAAGATACTACCACTAAACTGGAGTACTCCTTGGCAGTTGCAGATGCTGAGGGCACAGAGATTCCAGATCCTGTTGCTAAGGAAAATACCTGATGGAAGCTGGGTCGGAAGGAGAGTCTGCTTGTTGAGGGGTACCGCAGAGGAGCTGGTGCGAGCGTCCGTCTGGGACCCACAAGGGAGATCCCTTACCCTATTCCAGTTATCTGTTCAAAGTATTGCTACTACTATTGGTCCCTGGGACCAGATCACAGTGATTTCAGCCTTAGAGGTTGCTAGGGGAGAAAGCTGTCCTCCGAAGTATTTCCAAGGGCATCCTACAGATCCTAAACCCTCTCTCTCCTACTGAACTTGCAAATAAATATCCCAAAAGGACCCTAAGACTCGAGCCATTCTGTCCATGAGTGTCGGTGTACTGTTGCTGATCAAAGGGGATCGGTAGCTGGAACCAACAGGTAGGAGAACCTATTTCATATTCAGCAGCTCCTTCGGGGGTGAGCGCTACATTACCAAGACTATATGCAGGATCTTTAGATTCCTGCTTAACCATCCCATAAGCAGTCAATACAGTGACAATGACTACAGGTACTCTTTAAGATGCAGAAAAGTGCACGTACGATGGAAATGATTCCATCTATAAAGTTTATCACATTAGTGTCAGTCCATAGCAAAACAGGATTGGTGTGTACCATACCCATGTGCACCGCCATTCCCTCTTCTGTCCCGCTTCATGTAGACGCTCCCGATACCAATCCCGTGCTCTGTCCACCAGCTGAACCCCATCGAGCAAAGCATCTCTCTCCTGCTCCAGCTCTTTCATGCGACGGAGCTGTAGGGGAATAAATATCAATAATGCTTACAAAGAAAAGGTCTTTAATGTAAATGTAACACCGAACTGGATGACATTTAGTTTGCTGAGGCCAGGTTCACACCTGTGTGATCCATGACCGCGCAGCAATCATGCGCGATACCTTGCGGATTGCTGTGCGGTCACAAAGTCGCCCACCAGCGCTGATCGCACTAGCGGTGCTATTATTTTCGAATGGCACCCAAGTTGCGCCGGGCGGATCGTGTGGTTTCCCGCTGCGATTCCGCCCATGCAATCGAACATGAAAGCGGCTAAAACAGGTACATGCATTTTTTTTCTGCGATTGCTGCGTGGATGTAACCCCATTTAAATCAATGGGGCCGCGCGTCACTCGCTGTGTGCAATTGTACACGATCTCGCAGTCCTTATTTTTATACCTTACCTATTTTTTATCATTTGCTGTATATAAGTGTTGCTGATCTCCCGCAGCTATATTGCAGCCATTTCCTGTCTATATGCACTCCAGCAATGGCTGCATGCCATTCATCAGGGTGGCTTTCCTGATTCCTGATGAGTACCATTGATGGACAGGGACAAAGCGTTGTCACCCTATAAGAGGAAGGGCTTAAACAAGGACTTCATGGCAGGATCACCAGGGATTATTTCTATGAAAGCTGCAGGTTTAAAACTATTGACAACTTTTGAAATTAAATTCAGGTGTTAAAGGTTATTTAAGATGTTACTGATTGGGGGTTATGTCTGTTTTAAAGGAGAACTATTGGGTCTTTGTTTATATCTGTGACCCCAGTGTGTAGATCTCCCCCAGTCCACACTTCCTGGTTTCTCTCTCCGAAATGCGTTCTCCCTACATTCCTATGGAAAAATCAATCGGGAAGCACCGGTGACACAATAAAGTCCAGCCTCTTCTACTGTGAGCTACAGCTCCGCACAACACACGCATGCCTCCATATACACATGACCCACACTAGTCATGAGGAATTTGCTATAAGTATCTGTTTGTAGATTGGCATTACTAAACATTTCTAAAACGTCTATTTGTTGCCATTTCAAGGCTATGGGTAACGTTCCTCTTTAAAGGCCCATTCACACCTGTGGGCTGCAGTAATGGGCTGTGAAATGCACATTTTACCATGCGTTCCCACAATGGTATGGCAACGCATGTACCACAGTGGGGTGCATTGCGACTTATTTTGAATAGCACACAAGGGCACTAATACAGAGCCTGTGTATCGTAACACACCACAGTGCACAGATGTGAATTATCTCTTAATAAGGTGTAAACCGCTCTTAAGCTGCCCGTACACCTTACGTATATCGTCCGATTTTCGTATGCGTCCGATATTCGTAAGGCTGATGGGCTGTGTACAACCGCAAATACTGTACAATCGATCCACTTTTGACTAACCAGCAGGTTAGAAAACTTTGGTCGAGCGTATGATTTTCACAAGGTTGATGGCATTTCCGTACGTCACAATTCGTACGATTTACACTGCGCATGCGGAGACGAAAATACGTGCGGCCGATTACCGCAATTCGTCCAGGTGCTTTCTTTTAATTACTGCTGATCCAACCTTGCGATAATCAGGGCAGGATGGGGCGCCGTCCGAAAATCGTCCGACGGTTCAATCATCGGACAAAAAGTTTAGTCCGATGATGGCAAGGTTTATGGGCAGCTTTATATTCACCTGGTGATCCTGCCAGTTACACACTTCCTGCCCCAGGGTGTCTTTCCTCACTCCCTCCACCTTATTATTCCTTAATAAAGAAGGATTAGGGAAAACAATAGATTTTTGAACCAACATGTGACCACTTTCTTTGAACTATAGCCCCATTTTCATTGAAAAGTACAAAATAAAGGAATACAACACGATACACTGGTGACTGAGCTCTGTTTACTGCTATCTATCTGCCAGCAAGCGGGCATTGTGTCTGCATGGCCGGGCACACGGAATTACCAGCACTGTACTAAGGAATGTTGAACCCATGTGGGAATCTTGTGATTAAATATTTGACATGCAGCCATGAATATAGCTGACTGCAAAATAAATTCTATCAGAGCAAGTCAGGGGTACAGAACCCTTCTCCCGAGCCTGTTCCTGGGGCTTCCCTTATCCATATCAAGTAGCCAATATGCCACTGTGAAGGCAAAACTGTCCAATAGGTTCAAAATAATCAGGAAAGCAACACATAAAAATGGTGTCAGCAGCGTCAAACTCCTTTGTTGGCACCTGTTGGCCTTTGGTGCCCAACCCGCACTAGGGACTAGCAGCAAAAAATATTCTTTAGACTGGCTTCTACTTAAGAAGCTGTAATAGCAGTGCTGTCCAGCGATCTCATGTTGTGTGTCTCCAGTCTATGGCTGTCTCCTGAAGCATGTCCCCAGTCTCCAACAACACCATGTTCACAGGCTCTGACCATCTCCTAAAGGACATCTGCAGTCTCTGACAGCTTTCTGTAGTATTGCATTCACTGAATTTTATGTGCAACCCTTTGGTGATCTTGGGGCCCACACTTGAGGCCCCCTATGTCAAGGAAGTTGACCACCATTGCTGTAGACATATGACCGTGTCCAAGGCAAACCACCTCGCATAGGATCACCTTTATTTCACAGAAGGTTCTCTTGTTCTACTGGTTTACAGTGCTACATTTCTATGGGACGACATTAGCTGGGCACACATAGTTATATTGTTTTCATTTAGCCTACAAATATGACAGATTCCTCCATCAACGCTGAACACTGTGGATGAACGACACTCCCTACATTGTAGACTGGCTGCTGTCAGAAGACCCATAGCAAAATGGCTGCAAGCACCATTCGGTAAGCGATTTTCCAACATGTTCCTTCAGCAAAAGTCGATCTAATGATAAACTTCTGTCATGGGAGAGCATCACCAAAGGATCATATTTTGGCCAATTCCCTTTGAATTGGCTGACATTCACTCAGTGTGTACCCAGCTTGTATGTCTAGTTGCAAGATATGTGCGTATGTATAACAACTATACCCTGTATAACAACTATACAGGGAAAAGTCACCTCTTTGCCTCTGAGGCCTATACATACAGGCCTACAGCAGGCCAATGGTAAATCAGGCTCTGGGTGCCAGTTAGGATAGGTTCACATTGGCGGCAAAGGGGCAGTAAAAACAAGTGGTTGAGCTGCGTTTTTACCACCCCTGACTGCCCCCCTAAACACTAACATGGTGGCAGCTTGGGACCTCCATATTGCAGGAAGCACTATGCTTCATTTTCCAGTGCAGCAATTTTAATTAGGCATGCCCCTAAGCAGGTGGCCCATTGGAGTCAACGAGACTGCACCATGACCGCGTGCCGCATAATATATAATTCTGCTTATTCAGATTGCAGTCATCCTTACTGGTGGTTTACAACTGTTGTGTTATTAAAGTCATCCTATAATTGATGAAGGAATATTACATATGCAGCGTTAGTGAGCTATACTGTGTAGCAGGGTGCGTACACAGGAAGCACCTCAGGACGCACAGCTTAACTCACCTTCATCTATAATCATGTCTATTAAGACTTTCTTCAGTGGATTCAAATCCACCGATCTCTGATACCTTATATTGGATTACATACCCAGTAGTTGGGACTACATTACATCCAGTGCCTATTGTCCTGATATCTGATTTTGGTGTTTTATGAGTTTCATGGATTGAGACAATTGATTAACACCGCCCACAACACAGGTACCGTAAATATAAACACAGGTCATGTGTATGAATTGTTTCTATATCTATAGGCCCATGAATTGTTTCTATATCTATAGGCCCATGCCAGGAACCCAACTGGTCTAACATGCATTGTGTTCTAAGAAGGAGGGGTTTTGTTATTGTTGGGGAGGGGGGCATATGTGTGCACATTTGGTAAATTACAGTTATATATTTTCTTGAAATAAATCGACTTTTTATACTTTACGCTAGTCTTGTTTGAAGAATATTTATTTGATCTAGGCCTGCAACAACTAATCGATTAAATCAATAATAATCAATTATGAGAATAGTTGGCAACTATTCTCATTATCGGTTAGTTGGTAGAGAGAGAGACAGCAAGAGAGAGAGAGAAAGCAAGAGAGAGAGAGAAAGAGAGAGAAAGCAAGGGAGAAAGAGAGAGAAAGAGAAAGCGATATACAGGTGAAACTCGAATAATTAGAATATCGTGCAAAAGTAATGGCAGTAAGTGCTGCAAAAGAGGCCCAAACCAGGTACTGAGTACATATGCATGCTTGTACTTTTCAGAGGTCCGATATTGTTCTATGTACAATCCTTGTTTTATTGATTGCATGTAATAATCTACTTTTTTGAGGTTGTGGATTTGGGGTTCTTGGGGTTTTCATGAGCTGTAAGCCATAATCATCACAATTATGACAAATCACGGCTTGAACTATCTTGCTTTGCATGTAATGAGTCTCTCTCATATATTAGTTTCACCTTTTAAGTTGCATTAGTGAAATAAATGAACTTTGCACGATATTCTAATTATTCCAGTTCCACCTGTAGAGAAAGAGAGAGAGAAGGAAAGAAGGAAAGAGAGAGATTTTTAATGCAACCAATCGATTAGTTGAAAAAATAATCGGGCAACTAATTGATTATGAACATAATCGTTAGCTGCAGTCCTAATTTGATCGTATGGTTTCTCAGCTGATCCCTGATGTGTAGTCAAGTGGGAACCTGTTGTTTCTTCCATATTCGTTTTACAACACAGAGATAACAGCTGTCAAACCAGGAAGTGTTTACTAATGCACAATTTAGCTTATATTTTGACATGTTTTGTTGATCCTTCCAACCTCTACCTCGGGTTCCCCCATTTTGTACATATGAGGAGGACAGCTGCCAGTAGGATGTAAACACAGAAATCACACATCTGTTGTAATATTCCATCGTTCTGCAACCTGTCCAAAATCTGACATTTACAGCCTCACCTTCCCTACATGATAACACCATGGGGTGGATTCAGGGAAACATGGAGTCATTTTAAGAGCAGCTGTGGCCACAACAACTAAACCCAACATTTTCTTTACTTGCGCAAACCATAAGACAAATACAGCAGAGTCACCATTGTGTGTCACATAAACACAGGCTGAGTGTCACAACCCCGCTCAGGATTAACAGATTACACCATGTGTCCCGGGGAAGAGACCGACAAGGAGAATGACACATGAGGAGTCATTGCCAGGAGGACGAGAGAGGATAGATAGATAGACAGACAGATAGATAGATAGAGGGATAGATAGACAGATAGACAGATAGATAGATAGATAGATAGATAGAGGGATGGATAGGTAGATACACGATGATAGATAATAGATAATAGATGGATGGATAGACATTAATAGGTAGATACGCGATGATAGATAGATAATAGATTGATGGATAGACATTAATAGGTAGATACGCGATGATAGATAGATAATAGATTGATGGATAGACATTAATAGGTAGATATGCAATGATAGATAGATAATAGATGGATGGATAGACATTAATAGGTAGATACGCGATGATAGATAAATAACAGACAGAAAGACAGATGTATAGATTTATAAAAACAAATATGAGTTAATTAGAAAGATATTCTGATTGTTAGATAGATATGACAATATTATCAAAACAGAAAAAAGTTGATAGAATAGACAGATGATGATGATTTATATTATTATTATTTTTCAGGATTTATATTACGCCAACAGTTTGCATAGTCGTTCACAAAGTGCAAGGAGACGCTACAGTTTACCATTCAATACAAGAGGATAGGGTTAGGAGAGCTCTGTTCAAGAGCGCTTACAGTGTAAGATAGATAGATAGATAGATAGATAGATAGATAGATAGATAGATAGATAGATAGATAGATAGATATAAAATAAATATACAGAGAGAATTATTATACAGGATTTATATAGCGCCAACAGTTTGCGCAGCACTTTACAATATAAGTAATACATTACAATAACAATACAATTCAAGACAAGATGGTAAGGAGAATGATCAATAGATATGAGACGATAACAGAATAGTAATAGAGAGACACACAGACCCACATAAATAACCCCCCCAATCCCCAAATGACACAATCCTATACTCACCCACATGTAGAAGGTCAGGGCCTCTCGGCTGCTGTGAAGAGGGAGGATGAGGATGGTGTAGGCAGCTTGCACAGCCATACATACCGTGTGTGGGGTGCAGAGTACAGGACCTCCAACACATCTAACTTAGTGTTGACCAAGCGTCTATCTACACCTGTAAATATTGCTACCTTTCATTCAGTATTGCTTTCATGGAGGGGTTGAAGTATGTGCATGCATGTTTCTTGGTGTATGTGCGTCTATACGTGTTTGTGAGGTGCTATGTTTTGTACATGTGGCTGTATAGCAGTGGGTGTGTGCATGTACTCCCTGTGAAGTGCTAGGCGTGTCTGTCTATATACCTGTCTATAGCTCACAGGTACTCCTCCTCCTCCCTGCTTCTATTCTGTGTATAAACCTTTCTATAGATGGCAGCCTCCCTCCTCCCAGCCTCTATTCTGTGTATATACCTGTCTATAGATGGAAGCCCTCCTCCTCCTAACCTCTATTCTGTGTATATACCTATAGATGGAAGCCCTCCTCCACCCAACCTCTATTCTGTGTATGTACCTGTCTATAGATTGCAGCCCTCCTCCTCCCTGCCTCTATTCTGTGTATGTACCTGTCTATAGATGGCAGCCCTCCTCCTCTTTGCCTCTATTCTGTGTATATACCTGTCTATAGATGGCAACCCTCCTCCTCCTTGCCTCTATTCTGTGTATGTACCTGTCTATAGATGGCAGCCGTCCAACTCCTTGCCTCTATTCTGTGTATGTACCTGTCTATAGATGGCAGCCCTCCTCCTCCCTGCCTCTATTCTGTGTATATACCTGTCTATAGATGGCAGCCCTCCTCCTCCATACCTCTATTCTGTGCATGTACCTTTCTATAGTTGGCAGCCCTCCTCCTCCTTGCCTCTATTCTGTGTATGTACCTGTCTATAGATGAAAGCCTGCCTCTATTCTGTGTATGTACCTGTCTATAGATGGCAGCCCTCCTCCTCCATACCTCTATTCTGTGTATATACCTGTCTATAGTTGGCAGCCCTCCTCCTCCCTGCCTCTATTCTGTGTATGTACCTGTCTATAGATGGCAACCCTCCTCCTCCCTGCCTCTATTCTGTGTATGTACCTATCTATAGATGGCAGCCCTCCTCCTCCCTGCCTCTATTCTGTTCAGAGTCCTTGTCACTCTTTGTCACTTGTCTCCCTCTCTCTGGCCCCCTTTAATCCTCTCCTCTTCCTCTGTCGCCTTCTGTTCCTCACCTCTCTCACCACAGACCCCACTTTTCTCTTCTGCGCTGCGCCCCCCTGTATCCTGCCTCTCTGGCTGTTTGGCTCCACCTGTATTAGCTCTCGTGTTCTCTCCCCAGCTGACCCCCTCTCTGGAACCCTCTCTGATTTCTCTGCTGAGCTGCACAGACTTGTCCTCCTGTTGTTCCCAAACAGCAGTCCCGTGTGAATAGTGAAGTTATGCGGACAGAGCTGACACTCCCTCGTCGCCCGCTCTTTCCCACCCCTCCCATCTGCCCAGCGTTCTTGCAGCCCCTTTCACCCAGTCTGTTCTCTCCTGTCTTTATTTTACTCTTTATGGGTCTTTGCAAGGAGGGAGCAAGATAAATGAGACGAGAGAAAATGGAGAGAAATATAGAATGGACGTGAAGCAACAAAAATGGCAGAGGGGCCCCTGTATAAACAAACATGTTAGGCCCCTCTTTGATGGACATCATAGCTAGGCTCACTTGGCATCCCGCTTTTGGGAGTTCACAGGGTACTTGCAGCATATTGTGCCTACGAGTGCAGCATCACATCTCTGTTTATCATTCGCCTTCGCATTCACTCCAGATCTGGGTCATTACTTGCATGACCAAAACCATTGCATTGCCATCACTTCCTCTGATGTTATCAACAGCAATGAACCTAGTGCCATGCCATAGCTCCTTGGAGCAGACCTACAACCATGTGAACCCCATGGAAATTGTTGACTTTGCCAACATATTTGAACAGTCAAACATTAGATCTTGATTCAGATACTGCCTATAGATAAAGGCGATATACTTGAACATATTACACATACCATTGACATTGTGTCAATGTTATCTAACCTAATGAAAATGCAGCTTTGTCATAAAGAAAAAAGTAGGGACACCCCCTACATTTCCCACCAGTTTAAATCCATGAAATTAGAATCAGGTGTTCCAGATTAGGTGCCAATGATCAGAACCTCCTTAGGGGGTATGCAAGTGGAACTTAATTAAACCTGGGTCTTATGTAAACCTCAGATATCTAGGGTCTAGTGTTCTCTTTAATATTGACGTGTGTGGTTTCATCATGCCAAGATCAATCAAGCTCTCTAAAACCTTCAAAAAAGAAAGTCGTGGATGCCTATGAGTCTGGAAAGGGATTTTAAAAAATCGCCAAATGATTTGAAATGAATTTTTCCACTGCAAGGAAAATAAGCTACAAGTGGCGTATATTTCAGACAACTGCTAATATGTCCAGGACTGGCCCAAGACATTCAACCCAAGAGCCGACTGTTTGGTGCTAAATGAAATCTCTAAGAAGCCCACTGTTTCATTGTGGGGTATTCAGGTAACTCTTGCAAGAGCTGGGGGTCACAGTGCATGCATCTACAATCAATGTACTGAAGACTGATCAATCAATGATAGAGTTGATCGGTCACAGTAACAGTAGATATGTTCACCACACACCAAAGACAGCCCCTTCAGGAGAACAATCATATCAATTTTAAAGTAAGGTGATGTAAATGCAGCAAGTAATGGTACGCAATAATAGAGGGTTATGGACTGCCCTAGTCAACACCCTGATTTGATACCCATTGAAATTTTGTTAAAAGTGAGCAAATGAACGAATTGTGCATGGAGGAGTGGTCTAAAATTTGAGTTGATGTCAGAGACTGATGGACAGTTATACACAATGCCTACAAGAAGTCATTTCTGCTACAGGGGCCAATAACAGACGCTAAGTGTGAATATACTTTTTACACAGTATACCATTATATCCATTATTATTTTTTGTTGAATAAATAATTGAAAGGCAAACGTCTTATTCAAATAATATGTCACCTTTATCTGTAAGCACTGTTTGAATAAAAATCCAATGTTAACCCGTTCAAATAGTTTGAAGGGATCAACAATTTCCATGGGATGTACCTAATTTTTCATGTGACTGTATAGACCAATTAAATACAGTGTTACCTTAAAAAATGATTAAAAAATTATTATGAAAATGCTCAAAAATATACCTGTTGCTCCTATACCTGGAATTTAACTCCCCCCTCTTTCCCTGCAGTACTGTGCATATGGTCTCTACTCTCTACAGAGGGAGTTTAGAGGTCTGATGTTCAGAAAGAGCAGGCCAATCAGTAACTGTGATCCTTTCTATCTCCAGAGATGATAGATTGCAGTACTCAGAGCCACAACCACATTTTTGAGCAGTTTCATAAATGGTTTTTATGAATCATTTTCACTGATTCGATCTCCCTAGAGAGGAGCCCAGTGGAATCGCTGTATCCAAAATTAAACCAAAATCGTTTTGGATGAACTTCCACTTTGAGGAATGTGTCATAGAATGGAGTAAACACATTTAAATTGTACACCCACATTGCCAATCTGCAGGATATATACATTTCTCCACTGCTGAAAATGCAAATCTTAAATTGTGCAGACTGGCCATAGACAGGTAGTTCTTTTCAGGGGAATGATGGGAGGGGAGACAGCTGCCTGTCCTTGATCTCATTAGGACTAGGGATGGGCTTGGGTTTGGTGTGAACTAGAGATGAGCTGGGTTTTGAACTAGAGGTGAGCTGGGTTTTGAACTAGAGGTGAGCTAGGTTTTGGTGCAAAACCTAAAGTAAGGTGTCAGTTAATGCCCATTCAGCTGAGGCCCGGGTATTCCCCATCCCGCAGCTACACATAAACAGGGTGGTATGCTGGTGACATCATTGACCTTATATAGCCATAGAGTTACAAATGCGTCCTGCAAGTCTCAGGCTACATTATTAATGCGCTCCCATTAAATTGCATTGTAGTCTATCTACGTTTGCTGTTTTTTAATATGCACATACTGTAGAGCCTTGGTTCTCAACTGGTGGGTCGTGACCCAAAAGTGGGTCGCGACCCCATGTCCAGTGGGTCGCCACATGCCTTCCACTTTTCTAGGTGAGAGGATCCTCGTCCTCCACTTAGAGAAGCACTGTCAGTTCTCGCACCGAGCAGCCATTCCAAAATATGATGCCCGGCGCCAACAGTCGACTCGAGGTGGAGCTATGGCCGCGAGGGAGCTCCATCTATACATGCATTGCTTACAGCTCATCACATTCTGGCTCCCGGCACCTCTACGGGCACGCACGGGAGCTTTACAAGCAATACACATATGAATGGGGCTCCATCACAGCACAGCAGCCCACACTGGATCCCAGGTTGAGGATCCACTCCAATTTCCGTAATGGCAACCCAAACGCACCTCCCACCCACAGTTCGATTGCCTGCACCGGAAAGCGCAGTACCGCAACAGGGAACATTGCAGTGCAACTTGGGTCGCGACTTAATGACCGAGGACAAATGTTGGTTACACAGTTTGAGAACCACTGCTGTAGAGGACTGGCATGAGAATAACTGCTTCCCTGTGCAAAATTAGATCTGACAATAAAATTGCAACTTGATTTCTATGACATTTCAGGAACATGAAACATGGGTCTTATGTACCGTATTGTAATCGATGCCACTTGTTAGTGTATGCCGGCGGATGCGCTGCTCTTGCCGTGTCAGGCGTACGGAGGAGGGGGCGTCATTGTGGATGCTCTGGGATCGTGTCACTCCTTTTGCACCTGAGAGGGAGAGAAGTGCGTTACTTCTGACGTATGATTGATGTAAAATGGACTGATGTACTTATGAGATGGAGGATTTTTTTGTTAAGAGGTCTGGTACTTCTCTGTGTGTAATTAATGTTTCTCTCCATCTGTTCCAATCGTACTAACCTTCATCTGTTCGGATGAATTTAAGAGTTCATATCAGGTCTCCTTATGGACGGATTTTCATTTCTAGGACTGGAGACACATGGTGCAAGGCAGCTTTGTGACTAGACAATGTAATGGGGTCACCTTTTATAGTGACAACGAAAAGGGTATTTCCCCAAAATTTTAAAGGTTTTCCCCTCATTTCTTTTTATGGGACA